CTTGAGCCACAGGCGCCGAGCCTCTATGTCCTTCTCAATAAAGTGCCATGGCATCCACAGCAACCTCAAACTCTTAGGCTTAAGCAATTATCTTGCCTCACTCAGTTTCCCAAGTAGCTGGGACTACAGGCACCCAGGCCACAATGAATGCCCGGCTATTTTTTTTGTTGCAGTTGTTTAACTGGCCCAGGCTGTGTTCAAACCTGCCGCCTCAGTGTATGTGCTACGGGTGCCAAGCTGAGTGTAGGTTCTTCTTACATACATCTTTTATAGGGCCGACGGGGTGGGAAGTCATCACTTCAAGCATAAACAGGCACATAAACATGCCCACACAGAATATTCAGGAGCAGCTCTAGCCATTATTTACCTTTACTTGAGGTAAATATACCCAGGATTCCCATTCCCAACTCTTATTGATTCTAGTCAGCTACAATAGTCTCACCCAATCATAAACTATCAAAACAATAAGACAAAATGGTAGCTTTTTTTGTTTTTTACTTTGAATTATCAATGTACTGATACCTACAATCAAACAAGCTTATCTCTCAACAGTGGGAGAATACCCACTGAAAAGTCTACCAACTGACCTGGAGTTAGGGCACTTACCTCAGGTAGATAACTGTATTGCCATCCAACTAGCAGAGATCATTTGCTGCCACCTAATTAGCAGCACTGTATTAACAAAGATCCACCCCTCCTCTATCCATCCACCTACTCAAACACTGAAAACCTACTATGTGAAAACACAAAGGTAAGTGGAATAAGTCTCTGCCCTTAGTTCACAGTCTAGTTGAGAAGACATATAATCAACTAACACTCTTTTTCATACAAGTGAATAATGTGATCAGACATGCCACACAGAGATATTCTAACAGTATATAGAGAACTATGTGGAAAGACCCAGAATTGAGGGTGGGAAAACAAGTAGGATAACGAATCCTGGTTAAGACAATGGCTACAATAATGGAAAGGAGATTAATATCTAAGCAAAGTCTCAGAATTAGTATCAGCAGGATTTGGTGTTTGAGCAAAGTTAGGGAGTAATTAAAAGAGATAAAGTATACAAAGACCAACTAGCATGGTGTACTAGCTCCTAGTACATGACTAATTCTTCCCACTATAAACATCTTTTTTTTTTTTTTTTTGAGACAGAGTCTCACTTTGTCGCCCTCGGTAGAGTGCTGTAGCATCACAGCTCACAGCAACCTCAAACTCTTTGGCTTAAGCAATTCTCTTGCCTCAGCCTCCCCAGCAGCTGGGACTACATAGAGGCACCCACCACAACTCCCGGTTATTTTTTGGTTGCAGTTGTCATTGTTGTTTAGCTGGCCCGGGCTGGTTTCGAACCCACCTGCCTCCGTGCATGTGGCCAGCACCCTACCCACTGAGCTACGGGCGCTATCAACATCTTATCATCATCATCCTTCCCCTAGGTTGTTCCATTCCCTTTGTAACTAGTCTTCTTGCCCCCTTTTGCATCTTGAAAAGATTTAGCCCTCACTCCAACCCATTTTCCACAATTCAGCCAAAATAATTGTTCTGAAATGCTATCTTAAGCAACTCCCCTATTATAATTATTTAGTAATGCTCTATTACCTCTAAGATAAAACCCTAATCCTCAGCATGGCACACAAACCCTTTCACTCCTGCTTATAAAGGTCTAACTCCTATTTACCGGCACATAGGTAATTGCTGCAAAGGGACATTGCTGGTCCCTTTACCTGGAACACTCTCCCCCATCTAGGTCTGGCTAATATTCACTCATTGTTAAGGATTCAGTTCCATTTATTGGCAACCCATAGGCAGGACTGGAGTAAGAAAGACAATCTATGCAAAAAGAACACAAAGATAACAAAGAACAGGGTACAGGGATTGGTAGGTATTCCTTTTTCTCTTTCTGTGTAAGTAGAAGAGAAGAAATGAAGCTAAAAAGTTAAGATGGACAGTACAGTATAGTGGAAAAGCCCACAAACACAGACTGCCAAGGATTAAATTTCACCTCTTACTACTACTAGTTGTAAAGCCTGAGTTGGTTACTCAATTTCTTTAGTATACCTCTATAAAATGGAAATAATAATAGTAACTAACCAATACAGTTGTGAAAATTCAGTAAGTTGATATATATAAAATGCTAATAGTAATGTCAAAGAAAGTCATCAATGTCAGTTATTATTTTATTTCCATTATTATACATATTATTAGTGTAGAAGTTCTAACATACCAAGATGAAGCATCTATAATTAATTTGGCAGACCATGTGGGCCACTGAAATTTAGAAGTAAAGGTAGAATACGATTTGATAATGGTTGAATTATGTAACCCCCAAAAGCATGTTCAAGTCCTAAACATTACTAACTATAAATGTGACCTCGCTT